TATATATATATATACATATATATATATACTTTAAAAAAACAGGTGAGGCAGGTCGAAACTTAAGAGGGTCTCTCTCCGTCCACTGCTCCCCATATATTCCTGGGATAGGGGAACCCCAGCTGAATGGGAATCCACCCAGTCCCAGCAGATAGTGGCTGAGCCAACAGCGACACCTGCTGGGCCATTAGATTCTTACGGGGAAGCAAGGGCTGGGGGGTGGAGGGTGCCACAGGCTCAGACCCGCCATCCCCTTTAAGCCTTCCTCCCTCCTCCCTGGAGATTATCTGTGATGCATACATGTCTTTTTTTAAATATATTTTTATTGATTTTAGAGAGGAAGAGAGAGGGAGAGAGAGAAACATCAATAATGGGAGAGAATCACTGATCAGCTGCCTCCTGCACACCGCCTACCAGGGAGCGAGCCCACAACCAGGGCATGTGCCCTTGACTGGAATCGATCCCGGGACCCTTCAGTCCGCAGGCCGACGCTCTATCCACTGAGCCACACCAGCCAGGGCATGTGATGCAAACACGTCTTCAACCAAGACCAACCGTCCACGGACTGGAGAGGAGGGTGGGGCAGGTGCAATCAATGCAGGTCCATGCAAGGGAGTGACCGGCAAGCAGCCTCGGGCACATGTGAAGTTTCTCATCCTGGGCCGTATGTCAAGGGACCCTCCTCGGCCTCCCTGCATCTGAACCCCCCAAATAACACTTCCGCCTCCCCTCTTCCAGGTGAACTATGACCACTTTACTCCTCGTGTTTGTGACTCTGCGGGTCATCGCCGCTACCGTCTCCATAGAAGTCTCAGGTGAGAACAATCCCACGCCGGTCTCATGGATCCAGTGGGACCGGAGTCTGGGCTCTGGGTCCTGAACCCGGTGCTGCTGGTCCCGGGGACAGAACCTCCCACACCCTGGCCTTTTCCCCGGCCCTTCCCCTTTCCTGTGGAAATTGAGCCTAACCGCGGTGACAGAGCATCTGTACGTGTGAGCACACGCATGCGTCCAGATGCCCTCTGGGATGGACAGCTGATGGGGGAGCAGGCGGGGAGGGGCGTCCAGGCAGGTGCCCACCTTCCCAGGACCCCCTCCAGGGCTCTCACCTAGAACGATTTGCACACTGAGCTTGGGATCGGGGCCAGACATAGAGGAACCCAAAGAGAAAAGGCTGCCAGGGAAGGGCCGCCTGGAGCAGCAGAGAAAACTGTCTGAGAAACAGTCAGGGAGAAGCCCCGAGGGATCACACAGGTCTTCGTCTTTCTTGGCAAACCCCCCTCCCCCGCCCGCCCCCACCTGGTCTCTTGTGTGGCAGGCACCCGGTCGGTTTCTGATCATCAAGCCCTGAACCACTTTAACAAAGTGTCCACTGACCCCGGAACCGGCTCGCCCCAAAGTGAGACGGATCTCGCGTAGACCCCACCAGAGACACTGCTGCTCTGGCCTCGGCTCTGGCCCATGCACTTCATTTTTTGTTTATTTTGTTGTTGTGAATCCTCACCTTGATCTTTTAGAGCAGCGGTTCTCAACCTTCTGGCCCTTTAAATACAGTTCCTCATGTTGTGACCCAACCATAACATTATTTTTGTTGCTACTTCATCACTGTCATGTTGCTACTGTGACGAACCGTCATGTAAATATCTGATATGCAGGATGGTCTTAGGTGACCCCTGTGAAAGGGTCGTTCGACCGCCAAAGGGGCAGCGAACCACAGGTTGA